AAAAAAAAAAATAGCTCGGGTGTTAGGGGTCTTAGGCTACGGTGTCATGCCACTGCTGTAGTGTCAGGATCAGGTGTCATGGTGTGTGTGTGTGTGTGCTGTCTTCAGAGAGACTTCAGTTGACTTTCGTGTTCCACCGACACTGGGAAGTTTGGGAAGTGAATGTGTTCACTTTGACCTGGCCTCTTCCTCTTTGTCCTTTTCACTTGTCCCTCAGTGGAAAAAAAAATGTCTGGTCCTTTCCTTAATGAAAGAGCAGCTGGGGTTGCTAAGCAACCATGAATGCCACCCAGGCCTGGTAAGGCATGGCCACTCCCCCACTACTGTGCTCCGCTCAAGGATAAAGTAACCTGTTGCCGTCTCTTTTACTTGCTGGTGGTGTAATGTTGGAAGAGGATCATTACACTGGGCTGACGTGCCTTCATTGAGGGGCAGTGTGTTAGTGAAGTTGCTGGAATTGTTGACGTCTGTTGGTCAGGTGCTGCAGGATCAGCCAGACGTGTCTCCACAGGAACGAAGGAAAGTCTTTGCAGTGATGAAAAATGACACGTGAGTGAATTCCTTCACATGTAGAAATGAATTAGCCTCAGTGGGCTGGAGGCTGTTGTTGTTGTCGTCAGGCAGTGGGCTGGAGGCTGTTGTTGTTGTCAGACTGAGACTGAGGGTGCAACACCCCAAACTAGTGAGTTGGCTCCATTCAGCACTTTGGAAAGAAACCAGTAATGTGATTGTCTGTGAGTAAAATGAGCCGAGGGAACGGCAGAAAGAAAGTGATCAGTCAGTAGATACGGTAGCTAGAGACGTTTTCTTCTGCACAGAGAGAAGCTCAACACTGGGTTTATGTTACCATTTTACTTAAAGGTAAGTGTCATGGACCTGTTTAAAATAGTGTTTTTTTTAATTATTATTATTCACGAGTAGTGTCTTTATGTAGCATTTGTGCTTTAATTGTAATTAAACCCCTCTCATCAGTGGGCTGGCTCAGTGACTGGTACTGTATGATGTAAGACACTGCAGTGGCCTGGGCACCACTGTTACTGCAAAAGCTTAGCGAATAGCTGCAGAGCTATTTACTATGTTTGTATTTTTAAACAGTGTCATGTGCAGGGAGCCGCCACAGAGTTAATCTGGTGGTTAAACAAGGTTATTGTGTGGAGGAATTGTCTGGCATGTGGATAAACCCAGAGCTGCTCAGAGGTGTTCAGCTCAAAGGCGACGGATGAAAAACACACTTGGATACAAATGTTGGAAATGTATTGTGCCAAGGTTTTGATTTTCAAACTTTAAGTCCTGTATAATGGTAAAGAGTGCCCCCTGTGGTGGTGCTCTAACACTTGTGGTGATGGCTCAGTGCTGCGTGTGACTGTATTTCTGAAGTGTGTATATTTGCAGGGGCAACATGGTCTCTATGTTTTTGTTAATTTTTGTATAAAGAAATCAAAATTGGACCTTAATTTGAATTTTTTTTTCTTTTGGAATCTTTGAGATTATGGCATAAAAAGGGAAAAGAAGCATTAAATGTCTGTAACCTCATTTCACTTACATTGTTTTTTTTTTATGCGATGTAAAACTGTAACCTCATTTCACTTACATTGTTTGTTTTTTTATGTGACGTAAAAAATAATAATTATTGGAACCACTGTTTGCAAAGATTAACCCTTTGCTCTCTGTTTACAGATACCCAAGAATGGTGCCGCTAGTACGACGGGAATGATGTAATAATATTTTCAACTACAGAAGTGGGCACGATCCTGTAAGGTCTCGAAAATGTCTAATAAAACCTTCACTGTGCCTCTGGACCAAACCGCCAGCACATGTTGTGTGTCCAACGTAGCCCTACAAATATCTCCTGAGAACACTTATGACAACTTCCTGATGTCTCCGTCCCCTGACTCTGACATTGGTGGAGCTTATGGAAGTGACAGAGAGGCCAACAAGTCACCTGTATTAACCCTGCTCCAGTGCTCCCTCGGTGAAACTCCCCTCGTGGACAACCTTTATACTGACACCCCACCACAGGAAGCTATGTTATGTGGTGCAAATATGAACCTCAACCAAACCTTCATTGCCACACCGATGAAAGGCAGCGTAAACCTCTGGACTAAAAACCTGTTGATCAACCAGGACACCAGTCAAGAGTCCCACACATCCAGTGAGAACATGGAGGATGGAAAGAGAGACCTCATCACCTCCCTGGGATCTGCAAGCTCATGTTCAGTTTTTGAGCGAGGATCCATGAACAATGACCATTGCTCTTATAGTTCTGGGGAAATGGTGATGAGGAGCAACAGTTTTTGTCTTCAAGACCAGTCTTTATTATCAGTCACCTCCCTGGAGGACTCATCTTCATTGTCAGACAACAACTACCCAGCTTTGCTTCCTGACTGTAAGGTTCTCTCATCTCCATTGCCAGATGTCTGTGAGGGTTTGACGGAGAAAGTCACAGAGGAAAACGTAACAAACGATGGACATGTGGCTCTGGGCATGACTTTTATCCAGGCAGATATAGGTGAGCTCCCCATAGAGGAAAAGTACTCTGTAGAATGTATCCCTCTGGTAGCTCTGCCCAGTGAGACTGAAGACGGTCTTTTAAAGACCTTTGTTTATGAAAATTCTTCTGCAGACAGTGGAAAAGAGGAGCATTCTGGTGTTGCTGAAACAGATCTTTTATTTCATCTCCCCGGAGCCATTACACCAGAACAAGGAAAGACCATTGTGTCCACTCTGTCAGCGCTGCACGACACAGACAAGGACATTCATACTTCTACTCCAATACAGACCTTTGAGAACCAGACCCCCGTTCCTCCCTCATTTTCAGAATCACCCTTCACTGAAAATGGAGGCAGTCCAGCACTACAACCTGGTAAACAGCAGCACGTCCTTCTCACCCCAAAACAACAGTTGTCTGTGGAAGCGGGGCGTCCAACTTGCAAATCCAAAACAACAGAAATAAAGTCTACCAAGTCAAACTTCAGTCACATTAAATCCAAGTTCATGCCGAGAGGCTTTCCTCAAATCTCCATTCCAGGCCTTGGTTCAAAACGAAAATTGTCACAAAATAATATGACCAAAAAACCTTCTGATGGGTTTAGAACAACAACTATCCGAATAAGTCCTGTTAAAGGAAAGAGAAGCTCTGAAGTTGTCGCAACTGATGATGTGAAACAATCAAATACAGACTCACATGGACAAGCTGCTTCAGATGGACCGAGCAAAGACAAAGTCAGTGCACAGGAAAACCACAAAACCAGAAAGGACCATCCAGCAACTCTCCAAAATAACAGCAACACTGAAGAAAAACAAGAAACTTTAAACCAAGAACCAAATGTCACAGTAAAGTTTTCTGGCAACCAGACCTTCTGTATCTCCCCGGTGGAAGGTTCTCCTGACAGCACTGAGCCCAGGTCAGATTTGAACAAGGACACGTTAAATAAAACGCAGGCCAGACCTGGAGAAGGTGCAGATCAGCGAAAGCCGGTAGATCATAAAACACGGCTTAGTTGGTCGTCAGAGAGTTCAACGAAGCCCCAGAAAGAGAAGGGAAAATTGCTACGCAGTTCAAACAGCTTCAGCAATCCCAAACCCAAGAGCCAATCGGGGCTCATCTTACCAGGAAACCTGGTTTGCTCCTCCCAGAATAAACAGAGGACACCAGCTGAGAACATGAAGAAATCAGCAGAAAAGTCAGCAAGGGGGATCAGGAAGATCAGCCTTGTGGTGAGTGAGAAATTGATCTGTCAATCATCCACTTCAGTGACACTGATGACTGACTGACTCCCTCACCCCTAACAGGCAGAATCCAGTTCACCAACAACAGATGAAAGCCAGAGAAAATCCCAGGTTCAACCATCTCCAAGGCCATCAAAAGTACCACCTCCAGCTGTCACCCTCAGAGCAGCAGCAGCGCTGTCCAACAGACCGAGGCCAGCAGTCGGAGGCAGGGATGAACCCAGGGTCCCTGCTAGGACACCGCAGTTCAAAGAGAAGGGCATTACAGGTACTGCAGGCAGAGGGAGTAACATTAACACGTCAGCAGGTTAACATTACCAACAAGGTCTGTCTAAAATTAACATCAGAATCAGGTCAAACTAGTTCTTTCTACCTCAGAGGAACCTTTTTAGTTTATTCAGTAAATATTCAATGCGACAGGTTGGGATGAACTTCTACCATCAGAGAGAAACAACCAGGAGACTGTGGAAGTGATCCACAGGACCAGATCTGGACCCAGATGTTACCTTCTGTCTCTTGTCCAGGTCTTGGGATTAAGCATCAAACTCTACTGTACTTCTACTGTGCTGCTGTCTATAGAGGATCACATAAAATAAGACGTCAAACAAATATTGTAGACTGTGGGAAAAGTCAGAATGTCAGAAAACTGCACTTTACTGCAGACTACAGATACAAACCAAGCAGTTGTGTCAGTGATGAGATATTTTATGTTGTGAGATGAGAAATTCACCAACATTGGCTGAAAGTAGCACAATATCCTGTGTTGGTAATACTTCATTTCTGTAAGTACTACATCTCTGGTTGTTGTATTTATTTATTTCCTGTGTCATTAGGCAGTCAGAGAGGAAACACGGCTGCTGGAACGGCCTCAGCCATAATGAAGTCCAGGCCGCATGGTTCGCAGACTTCTCAGGTTTTTACCCGACCATCTATGATGCGTCCTCCTGCAACACCACTGCCTAGATCACCCAAGACCCCTGGACCAGCTAAGAAACTCACTGAGGCCGGTCAGCCGGGTCGAGATACTAAAGGTCAGTCTTACATTTATCTTCTCCTTCTACTGTCACATTTCTAGACTACTATTACAGTGTTAGCTGTGCGTCTGTGTCTTTTCTCAACAGCAGGTGGGGCCTCTGCGTCCAAACAAACACCACTAAAGTCTATGTTCCTCAAAGCACGGCTGATCCCAACACCTGGGAAAAACACTGGCCAATGTGAGGGACAACAAATCTGATCATTTGACACTTGACCTTTGACAGTAAAGTTCACATTAACTCTCACCTGATTCTCCTGTCTGTTACAGCACTGACCACGGCGTGTAAACCTGCCCCCCCACCCTCCAAAGGAGCCTCTCACCCTGCTGTCACCCCTGTGGGACGGTCTGCTTCACTAAGACACGGTCGTCTCAGTTCAGCTGGACTTGGTAAGACACTCGTCTTTTAGTTAAATATGTGATGGAGTCAGTGCCGTACACAGCTCTGTGATAAGTATCTGCTGCACTTGTTGCCCTTTTTAATGTCATTCAGGCAGATTGTGTCCTGCCACAGTACATTCATCACCTCTTGTTTATATCTGCTCTTCATTGTCTTCTGAAACGAGGAACTGTTTGCATACAAAATATTCCCAGAGTTGACAGCTGTTAAACCAGGAGAGCGTTAGGTTTTTTTTTTTGTGTTGAGATGTTGAGATAATGTTCATTCAGACGCCAGGTTGCTCTGGTGTTCTGCTGTCGTCCTGTTTGCTGTGACAGAGGAGAGGGAGCCAGGTCAACTCTCATTGGCTGCAGTTCTTCTCTTTGCTCCTCCCACGTTTGTCTCCCACACCATCCCCCACTGCTCTCCTCCTAGCATCCTGGCTGTGCTACACCAGCGCCATCATGAAGCCTGGAGATGTTGCTTTGCTCTGACATTGATTTCAGTGGAACAGATGAAGCGTTTGCTTTTTTTTAAAGGACTATTTCTTTGCTTTTGTGGAACAGATGAAGCGTTTGCTTTTTTAAAAGGACTATTTCCTTTTTGGCGTTTGCTTTTTTTTAAAGGACTATTTTTTTTTCTTCTTTTCAGATATTCCTGCCTCTGCCACAAACCTCTGCTCCGCTTAAAACTTTAAACTAATCCAGAACCTCTGCTCCGCTTAAAACTTTAAACTGTAATCCAGCATTTACAGCTGGAAAAATAGACCTAAAGTAGGAAGAATTACAATCCTTTTACTTTCTTCAAGACTTTTCTACTGGGCATCTCTGGTTGTATTTTTGATTTATGCTTTTTTTAAGCAGTACACACGTGTTCTACTGCAACTTTATTGATGATGCATTTGCTGACCAGTGGTTTATAGCCATCATTTAGCTCCAGCAGCTTTGATTATTTAATTACTTTTTTTTAACCTAAAACACTGACTGTTCAGCATTGATTTTGAGATGTTATGGTCTCCAAAGTTTTCCCTGTCAAACATCCACATGCGTCTGACGGCTAAGGATTTACTACGGAACATTCGCCTCCTGTCAGGATGCAAGAAGATAACTGTGGTTTTACAAGGTCTGTTTGTGACTTAGATTTATTTTGTTCACATTTGTGGGTTTTTTCTTTTGTCCATATCATTCATATCAAATCAAAATGCATCTCTGTATTTGCTGCCCACGGAGACCTGGGCCTGAAGTGTTTGTGAAATCTATTTTTAGTCTGGCTGTTTACTTCTCAGGGAGGCAGCAGGTTCATCTTTCATGTAACTCCATCGGTTAGCCAAACATTTACACACTGGCAAAGGTACAAAAAAACACCTTTACTTAGGAAATTACTAGAATTTTGCTTTAAACATTTTTCACTGGATCCAGAATTTTTGTTATTGTTGTTTTGGTAATTTTTTTAAAAAATTATTATTTAATCTTCTCACTGGAGAACCTTGTGATCCTGTTTCCTCCTGTGAGGCTCCAAGGTTATTTTGGTTCACGATGTTTGAGCTGCTCATTGTGATTGTCTTTCAATAACAGATTTTGGTTCACGATGTTTGAGCTGCTCGTTGTGATTGTCTCCTCACCTCACCTCATCACTGAGATTTTAAAACATTTTTTTTGTTTCGTTTACTGCCTGTGTTGAAAAAATATTCTCTAGAGTTTTTTTGTTTCCATTAACGGAGCATCAGCATCAGTAACAAGTGCACGATTGTAAAGGACGTCATCACCCAGCATGCTTTGTGCTATGGTGTGACATCTCTTGACAGCAGCAGATGTCTGTGTTGTTGGCACTGACTCACGCTGCATGTCTGGAGTTCAATTGGTGGGAATGTTGTTGGCACTGACTCACGCTGCATGTGTGGAGTTCAATTGGTGGGAATTTATTTTTTTCTCACTCAGTAAGAAAAAAAAAAAAAGGGAAAGGAAACGTGTCGTCTCTGTTAATGTACCGTAAGGTAATGATGAAAATAGTCGCAGGTCAGTTGTTGCTAAGGAACGGCCATTACAGCGAGAGTGCTTTTATTTAAATACACAAAAAAGCAACAGTATTCATATAAAGTATCAGCACAGGACATTACAGTGACACTGTGTATTTCCACCATGTTTTTGTTACTACTTCTAAATTACAGAAGAAAATAATAAACAAAACATCTTTTTTCTCTTCAGTGTCTGTGGTCACTGGTCCAGACAGAAGCTTTTTAAATGATTAAAATACCTTAAATATTTATAATGTCTCTGTTACATGTTTATATGGACAGCTGCACTTGTTTGTTTCAGTTATCTACTTTGTGAGAATATATGAAAGCAGCCATGGCCATGTTCATTATATTTTAAGTATTTGCGTAGACATTTATTAAGCAAAATATGACAGAATAGATTGAAATGCTGGTTATTTGTTTTATTTATCGCCAGCAGAGGGCGACATAATTCAAAGAAACGAGTCGATTTGTTTTGCCTTTCCAACAGCATTGCGATTATCTGCTGAAATGAGTTCATCATTAGTCATGTTATTCTGGGATGTTGTGTTTCTTTTGGTTGACGCCCATTTTGGATTATCAGAATTTTTCTTGTTTTTTTTTTTTTAACGCACCATTCTGTTGTTGACACACCCAGCGTGTTGGTGATGTTATGCTGGTCTTCCTTCAGCTTCTAATTTTAAAGTCGTTGAAACAGCTGCCGTGCGAGGCAGCAGACGGTTCAGTGTCTGCTGTTGGACTACATTCAGATCAGTGAAGCTGGTATTTCTGTGCCTCAGCCTGTCTTTACTACTGTGTATTACATAACTGACACCACTGAGTCCTTAAAGAGCAGCATGTATTTCACAGAGTGGAATCCCACAGTGGCTTCCCAAGAAAAGCTATTTTTGTCAGGCGTCCATGTAGCTGCCTGAGGCAGAGTAGCTGATGTTTCTTCTTGTTGAATGAACGGCTCTGTTGATGCTCAAGTTTATAAAAAATGTCAAGTCAAAGGTCAGTTCTGTGGTCGATTTAAATGAAATGTTCATGTTACCCTTTATCTGCTGCTTCAATTTGAACAGAACAAAAGCCAGAATAATTAATGACTCTTAGGAAATGTGTTTTTCTTTTTTCAGTTTCTTCAGGAAAAATTCCTGAATGGTTTTAGATCCAAACCTGTTGAAGAGCTTTTATAGTTTGAATAGGTTTCCATTTAAGTTTGGTTAAAAATGTGACGTTTGCACTAATTTTAAAAATGTATTCTTGAGGGTTAAATAATCTAATCAAATCAGAGGAAACACTGGACAAAGACACAACCATGAAACTGGTCACAGCTGTTGGAGACCAGTCTGAACTGGTTTCAGTCATGAACATCAGACACATCTGTCTGAGGACTTTTTGACTAACCCTTTTATATGTTTATTAACAGTGGACAAGAACACACCCAAGGGTGGGACTCAACAGCAGCAGCAGCCGACCCAACCACACCGGACCCATGGTCCTCCAACTGTGGTTCCACCGACTGTCGCCAAGAGAGAAGACACAGACCAGAGGC